CCCAAAGACACCATTTGGGATCAGATTTGGGAAAGGGGGTGTGGATCACATTCCCAAATCCCAGCCTGGCTCCCTCCTATCCCTTTCCAGGGTGGAACTGGGCGAGTTTGGAAGTTTTCCAGCAGGCAAATCATGGAAAATCATGGGATCACAGGATGGTTTGGGATGGGAAGGACCTTAAGGATTATCCAACCTCACCCTCTGCCATGGACAGGGACACTTCCCGCTATCCCAGGTTGCTCCAAGGGATCCAGGGACACTTCCAGGGACACTTCCAGGGACCCAGGGACACTTCCAGGGATCCAGGGAATCTCCCCACGGACCTTCCCCTGCCTCAGTCCCCCCAGGAGGTTCCTACCTTGTCTCCCACAGGTCCATCCTCTCCCTTCTCTCCTTTGTCTCCATCAAATCCTGGTGATCCCTGCTCACCCTGGAAGGCAAAACGGGAATTCTGGGATGGGCAGATCAATCCCGGGAGGGAAGGGACGACTTCCCAAATCCACCAGAGCCAAACTTACGGGATCTCCTTTGCTGCCTCTGTAGCCCTGGGGGCCAAAAATAGTCGTGGGGTCCCCCTGGAAAAAGGAGACACGGAGAGATGGACACACAGGGCTGGGAATGCCCTTGGAATGACAGGCGGAAGGGAGGGAATAAGTGGGAATTCCCACACGAACAAAAGCGTTTTCCAAACTCATCCATGTGCCAGGCAAGGCAGGAGTGTCCCAAAATGGATTTGGGGCTGTCAGAGGTGGGACAGATCCATGGATTTGGGGCTGTAGGGGTGGGACAGATCCATGGATTTGGGGCTCAGAGGTGGGTCAGATCCATGGATTTGGGGCTGTCAGAGGTGGGACAGATCCATGGATTTGGGATTGTCAGAGGTGGGACAGATCCATGGATTTGGGGCTGTCAGAGGTGGGACAGATCCATGGATTTGGGGCTGTCAGAGGTGGGACGGATCCATGGATTTGGGGCTGGACTCTCATCCACCGACATTCCCAAAAATCTGATCATTTTTTTGGGCAGTTTATCCAACTCAACCCCACCAGACCCTGGCCCTGGTTTAATATCCCAGTTTAATATCCCAGTTTAATATCCTGGATTAATATCCCGATTTAATATCCTGGATTAATATCTGGATTAATATCCCAGTTTAATATCCCAGTTTAATATCCTGGATTAATATCCCGATTCAATATCCTGGATTAATATCCGAATTTAATATCCTGGATTAATATCCTGGATTAATATCTCGAATTAATATCCTGGATTAATATCCTGATTTCATATCCTGGATTAATATCCCAATTTAATATCCTGGATTAATATCCCGGTTTAATATCCCGATTTAATATCCTGGATAAATATCTTGGGTTAATATCCTGGATTAATATCCCGATTTAATATCCCAGTTTAATATCCCGATTTAATATCCTGGATTAATATCCCGGTTTAATATCCCAGGGTTTAATATCCCGGTTTAATATCCCGATTTAATATCCCGGTTTAATATCCTGGATTAATATCCCAGGGTTTAATATCCCGGTTTAATATCCTGGATTAATATCCTGGATTAATATCCCAGGGTTTAATATCCCCTCCCGCTTCCCAGCTCCAGAGGGTCTCTCTTAAACACAGGATGAATTTTGAGGAACAAAAAGGAGGATAAAAATCCCGCAGTTTAAACCACAAACCCCGGGATTCACATTCCCTGTGGGATCAGAGGAGGACAAGAAGCAAAGCCGAGAACGGAACAAACCCGGGGCCAATTATCCCAATTTTCCCCCCTCCCCTCCTCCTCCTCCTCCCATTTTTATCTCGGATTCCACCTCATCTTTTGTTCGGGAAAACGCATCACACATTCCTTCAATTCCTTCAGCCCTTTTCAGAGGCAAATTAAGGCTCGATTGGCCTCCGGGAGAGGAAAATTAAGGCTCGATTGGTCTCCGGGAGAGGAAAATTAAGGCTCGATCGGTCTCCTGGAGAAACAGCGAGTTCCCCTTTTTTTTATTTTATTTTTTTTTTCAAAAGCAGCTTCCTCGGAGAGCAAAAAAAAAAGGAAAAAAATAAAAAATAAAAAAATCGGAGCCTTTAATCATCTCCCATCTCATGACTCAAAAGGCAAAGTCGTCATTTGAGTTTTGTTTTTTTTTTTTTCTCTAAAACCTCATTTTCTAACAAAAAAACCCCCGGGCACGAGTTCAGCGTTATTCCGGCAGCGAATTTTCCAGCTGTTATTTTCCTTACGGCTTCTGGAAAATTGGGTGATTGGGAAAATTTGGGGTCAGCCCCGAAATCGAGGAGGGAAATTTTCTTCTGGCTTTAATTTGCAAAAGGAATTTTTTTTGTACCCACCCTGGGCAAATAGTTTTCCCCCAAAATGACTTTTTGTCGGGGTTTTGGAGGATCCCGTCAAAATTTATGGGCCAGGCACAAATCCAGCCCTGGAGAGGGGTGGGATGGGATCAATAAAGTGGGATTTGAACGGGTGGAGATCCCAAAGAAGGAGTTTGGGATCTGTAGGTTGTCTTATGTGGGTATTTTCCTTATTTATGGGATCCTTATTTATGGGATTCCTTATTTATGGGATTCCTTATTTATGGGGTCAATAAAGTGGGATTTGAACAGGTGGAGTTCCCAAAGAAGGAGTTT